ATCTTGTCAAGCCTCTGCATTCTTGGCTCTTGCCATTTGAAATCATACTAACAGCATGATCCAGAACCCACAAAAACCTGAACAGAACATAAAATTAATCACAGGTTAGCAGCCCAGTTGTGGGTCTCACAAATACAATACAAACAAAAACTCACATAAAATATTTCCACAGGTAGAACAATATTGAAAATGAGCTCACAGTCCATGAAGATAAAACAGGCAGAAAAACAATCTACCAGCAGACCCAATAAACCAAAGAATTGATTCCCTGAGAATCTTAGGTAGGCAGGTGATGGCTATGAGCAAGTGCATACCTGTTTAAATTATTACAGCTATAGAGAGGGGAATGAACTCCAGACAGTACTGTAAAAACAAGACATATTGGAAAGAATGGATAACTTCTGAAGAGGAGAAATAAAGTGAGTGAAATAAGAATCTCAGCAGGTATGTTAACAGCAGAATAGACACAGCCTCATTTTCAGGAGAGCCAGGGCAGCTCAGCAACTAGAATGGACAGTTCCTGTTGAGAGGGAAACCATAGGTTGGAGCTCAAGGGACCAGAAAGTGGGAGTAAGAATATCAAGTCCAGATTCAAATGAGTTCTAGATTGAAAATCATTTTCCTTAGGATATTGAAGGCGATGATCTCTTACCTCCTGGCTTTTATGCTGTTCTAGAAGACTGGATTCCTGTGTTAGCACCCTCCCAATCCCTCCTGGAGACATCGGGGTCAACACCCCCAAGGTTGTGCATTGAGTGGGTGTTCTCAGAATCCTTGGTCTAAACTTCTGCTTGGGGACCAATCTCTTCTTTCTATAACTCCATATTGCAGATGTTTGGCATTCTGACAGAACTCTTATTTTTCATCTCCCCTCTCCCAAATTCTACTTTTTGCTCATATTTTCTGTGAAAATTCCTTTCTTTAAAAATTATTTTATGCTGTTGTACAGAGAAAACCTATCTTGAAAGCCCCAAATATTTTATTTATTATTATTGTTATTGTTATCATGGATGGGGGACACCCAGGCACACCTCTGTGAGTATGTAATTATGAGGACCACTTTTAAGAGTTAGTTCTCTCCTTCTGTGAGTTCCAGGGGTTGGACCCTGTCTCCAGCTTGCTCAACAAGCACTTTTACCAACAGAGCCATCTGATCAGTCTCTGGAATTTCTTGTTAGTGTCCAAAGCTTATTTTCTTCTTTGGAGAATTTAGTTTTGTCAGTTTATGTCCTCTGTTTCTACACATTCTGTGTTGGTCTTCATATATTTAATACCTGAGATAATTGTAGACTTTTAAAAGTTTTCTTCTGATTCACACTTTGTTTTCTCTAGGGTTTTGTTTGCTTGTTTGTTTTTGTTTTTGTTTTTCAAGACAAGGTTTCTCTGTGTAGCCTTGGCTGTCCTAGTACTCATTCGGTAGACCAGGCTGGCCTCCGAACTCACAGAGATCCACCTGCCTCTGCCTCCTGAGTGCTGAGTGCTGAGATTAAAGGCATGTGCCACCCCACCTGGCTGGTTTATTTTTATTACATCTATTTATTTGTGTGTCTGGAAGCATATACATGTGTGTGATCATGCCGTGCTGTGCTATTAGAGGACAATTTGTAGAAGTCAATTCTTGCCTTCTTCATGTGGGTCCCAGGGATTGAACTCAGGCCATCAGTCTTGGCAGCAGGCATCTTTGCCAGCTGGAACATCTTACTGAATCATGTTTCTTCTGATTTTTAAAACCTGCTTCTTGGCTTGACTGGGAAAGCTGTGAGTTTGTCCTCCAAGTAGGACAATCTGTCTAGTAGACTCGGTTCATTTTGCACATTGAGTTAGTGACAGGTATTTGAAACTCCATGTGCATGAGTGGGGCTTATTGATGTTGAGTGTCACTGTAGGATAATAGATCTAAATGTTAGGTCCGAAAATATTTTTGGTGCTGAGAGGAAGGATAGGCTGGACAAGAGTGGTGGGGCACGCTTCACATTAAGCAGTGCGTCTTCTTCTCTACCCTAGCTCTTTCTCCCAACAGCAAACACTGTAGGTCCTGAGGTCTAGGCACTCAAGATCCAAACTTTTCCTGTCTATTGATGGAGAGGCAGGGGAGAAGCTCAAACTGTTCCTGGTAGAGACCTTCAAACAGTTTTCTTGTCCCACTCTGACAGTTCCCCTATGTCTGGTGCCTTCTTGATTTGACATGGGGAATGTTAGAGTCAGCAGACATAGCCTCATTGTAACTGCTGTGGATTTTCTGTGTACAAGGAACAGTTCCCAGATCCTCCACTTCAACCTGACTCACACATGGTCTCCTCAGGCCATGGCAGGTTCATAGGTAGCCTACAGATGCTTCCTATGAACAGGTTGAAAAGTACCTCTCATTGAAGGATTGTCTGGATCAGGTTGACCTTTGGACATGTTTGTGGGAGACTGTCTTGACTACATCACGTCATCTGGGAAGACCTATTGGTTGCACTATTCATTGTATTTTGTCCTTAATTGCATGAGAGAGAGAGAGAGGGAGAGAGAGAGAGAGAGAGAGAGAGAGAGAGAGAGAATGAATTGAGCAGTGGCATGAATATATTCGTACATTCTCTCTGCTCTTGACTGTGGATGTGACAAGATGAGCTGTTTCAAGCTCCTGCTTTGACCTTCCTGCAATGATGGATCATAGCATGCAATTATGAACTAAAATAAATCCTTTTTGTCTGAGTACTTTGTCATATCAAATGGAAAGGGAACCTGCTAATGTGAAGCCTCCTTCTACCATCAGTGAAGGCATCTCCCATCCCTTCCCCAGATAGAGCCCCGACCCACCTCCCTTCTCATAGTCAGCTTCTATTACCTGCCACTCCTCCATCCACCTTCCATCTTTTTAGGAAGGACCAGCTCAAGCTGGCTCTTCAGCAAATCCTCATCTGGACCTGGCTATGCCCCCAAACTCACAGAGATGTTGTGCATGGGTATGTGGCCAGCACATGGCCACCTTCTGTCACTGATGGCCCCAGCACCACCCCGTCTCCATTTCCTGCTTAATTTGTCCTTTTTCCTGAAGCAAAGATGGGGTCCTTGCTTGCCCATCTCAGTGTAGAGAAGGCAGGGGTCCTCTTACAGCCTCCAAGGAAGATAGAACAAGGAAGTGTGATGAGGGACAGCTCAGCCTACAGCCCATGGAGGAGGCTCAGTTCTTTTCCCCAAGGGCCACTTCCCACCAGCCACACCTGCAGCCTCAACTGCCACCTCACTGAACCTTGTTTTTCCAGTGCCCCAGCTGTTCCTGGCAGTAACTCCAGGAGGAAGAGGAGCTGGAGCTATAGAAGGAGACCATGAAAGGACCTCACTTTTATGGGTTGCCACAGAGGACAAGGCTTGCTGAAACCTTCAGGCTATTCCAAAAGGCAACATCATCAGACATTACAATGTAAAACCTGTGTATGTGTGTGTGGGGGGGGGGAGGGGGGATCCTGTCCCTTTACCTAGAGTCCTACACTCAGGGTCAGCTCACAACTGTGGGGATCTTTCTAAAGAGCTAGGCCAGCAATCAGTTTATACCTTTCATTACATATAAACTCTGTGGCAATGAGCAGAGAAAATACCCACCCACAGCCTTCTCCTCTTTCCTCCTTAATCCAGCTTCAGGGGGGCTTTTGTTCGAGCTTCCTTGCTTCGGCGCAGATATTTTTACCATGACAGCAATTGCCACTGACCAGGGAACAACTCACAGCTCACTGCCTTCATGGTGGCCCAGGACAACTACCCAGCAAGCTCTAGAGTTTTTCACTTCCAGAACCAACTGCAGTGGTCCCTCAGAATGTAAGGTTTGTTCATCACAACAATCCTGTTCACGTCAGGCCCCATGTCACGCCATCATGCAGAATTCAGTGGCTGGAGTCACTTTGTGTATGTATGGTGTAAATATGTATATATGTAAGTATGTAGTCTATATCTATTGGTCTGTTTGTGTTGGCTATTTTGAGTCAGTCAAAGCAGTAAGTCCTGGCCAAATGTGCCCAGAGGCCCTCGAGCTGGTCATTCTGAGCATCATTCAGCATTAAGGAATAATAGAGTTTGACACATTGGCAATCTGTAACTGTGTACCAATACCAATGAAAATTAAATAGGGAGATAGGAACACATTATTGAGTCTGTTGTGTGCTGGTTAAAACAGGCAACCCTAAGCCATCATAAGTAGAGTCAGACAAACTTACAGGGCTACATATATCACAAATGAAAAGGTTGTGCAAGGCAAGAGAAGCCAGGAAATGAGCACAAAAAACTGAAGATGTGACACTAAATGCAAGGAATTAGAATCCAGGACCCCTAAGGTTAGGAAGAGCCACTTCTGCTATCTGAGGTGATCAGTATAATTTTAAAAAGACTTATGGACTAGATAGCATCATGCCAATGTTAACTTCCCGATTCTGATGGTTGTTAGTAAGTCCTTGGTTTGGGGGAAATACACACTTAAGTAACTGGGCATATTGTCTGCAAGCTGTTCTGAGAGGTGAGTAGATGTGTGGTAGGTGGTCAGAGAGGAAGGCAGACAGGTAGAGAGGTAGGTGGATGGATAGGGAGGACAATCAGTTGGGTAGACAAGTGGGTGGTTAGAAGATTAGGCATAGTGGTGGTGGGTTGATGGACCATTGGATGGAAAGGTAGTGACTAAAAAACGGATGGTCAGGAAAATAAGGTCAAATGTAACTGAAAGAGAAGCCCAGAGTCAATGTGAAGTTATCATAATTGATATAATCTGAAATTATTTCAGATGTAAAGAGTTAGCATGAGAATAGTAATTTTTAAAAATGCAAACCCTGCTGCTGGGAGCTCCTCCCCACCAGATCTGGCCATGTAAGATAGACAGATGCCCCTGGCCATGCTGTGCTTCCTGAAACTCTCAGGCCTTGAGTTGTTTCAGTTTGTAACATCTCCAAATCCCATGGCCTTGCCTTAGATCTCTGGTTTTCAAGGACCAGATGATTAGAGCTTATTGATCAAAAAAAAAAAAATAGTCTTAGTGAATTCCAAAAGTAGTAAATCCTTTATTGACATCATACAGATCTCCCATGGTCTCTGTGTTTTACACAAGAGTAGAAGACAGCGAAGGCAAATTGAGGCATATTAAAACATAGCCAGCTTCACCACTTCCTGTCACAGAAAAGTATCCTGTCCATGATTCATGTCAAAGTAAACAGTACATTAATGCCACTCTTCGTGCTACAAACCAAGCTATACCATGTGTTTGCACACAGTGCACTTCTGTAACACATCTACAGTGACAATATTCAGAACTTGAATGGGGAAGGTATAACAATGAGGCTATCAAATCTTTTGACCCCCTCCCCCCCACACCAAGTACAACCATCTCTTCTAATGGCTACCTCAGGACACATTCAACTGCTGTGGCTGGAACACAGCAGGAGTCACCACAGGGCACATCAGCAAAGCCCTCGGCACAAACCACCACCTCACCAAAAGACAAGAGCCCGAAAGAGTGATTTGTTTGATTAAAAAATGTTTAGTATAAAACCTATTTTATAAAGAATTTTCCACTAACTTTTACATACGTGGCTCTGACATTTTGGGTGAGAACTCAGCAACTGTCAGGGAGTAGGGGAAGAGGTGTGGTGACCAAAAACCAAAAAGCAAAACAAGTGAAACAGCAGTTCAATGCTGGTAAGGCTGTTCAATGTTAAGATCACCTTTGTGATTTTATCTTCATTCCCTTTCTAGACTCCATCAGTCAGTGCCAGTTATAACCTCACAGGTCTCAAACAAAGCTAGCATGTCATTCATATGTAAGAATCCACTATGCCTCCAAAGACAGGATGAATGAGAAGACAAAGGACAATGCTCTTCCATGACTCTACCAAAGATGCTGTGCTCCAAGCAAGCAGAGGTAGCTTGCTCTGGGACAGAGGGGCTATCCTTATATAGGCTTTGTCATGAATGACCCGCATCAGCCGCCATCAAGACCACAATGAAATGACACTGACCTAGTCCCATCTGACACCAGATACCATGGCCGGCCACAGTGGCTGGTGGCAGCCTTTGCCCCGACACAGCTATTATTGCCTTGTCCATTAGCCTCTGCTTTGTCAATGTATGGGCAGGCCACCAACAGGGTGAGCAGAGTGTTCCAGGACCATTCTGTTCCCATGAGGAACACAAGGATGGCCCAGAAGCCTACACAGAGCCCTGGTTCTGCAGGTGGCGAGCTAGGTCTTGCTGCATCGGAGCAGTGTGGCAGTGGGGCTCTGGCCTCCTTGGAACTTGAGACTTTGCAAGTTGATGTGGGCCCCATGTTTGAGCAGAGTCTCCACAGTCTGTGAATGCCTGCCCTGGGCAGCCAGGTGCAGTGCACTGAGGCCCTGCTCATCAGACAGGTCAATGAGGTCAGCACTGACCAGCTCTTCTACCACCTCCCAGTGCCCATGGGCAGCAGCCAGGTGTAGCGCCGTCTGATTCAGGGGCCCCCGAGCCAGCACATCAGCCTTCTCCTCTACCAACAGCTTGACAGTGGCCAGGTGTCCATTCCGGGCTGCCAGGTGCAGGGCAGTACAGCCCTCTGAGGTCAAAGCCTCCTTGCCAGCACCACGATGCAAGAGCAACCTAGCAGTACTCGTGTGTCCAGTCTCTGCAGCGACATGCAGAGGTGTCTGTGCCTGCAGACTGCAGATGTTGATGTCAGAGCACAGGTCAATAAGGATTCGGGCCACACGGTAGTGCCCCCTCTGAGCAGCCAGGTGCAGGGGTGTCCTCCCGTCTAGTGTCTGGGCATTCACACTCACCCCAGGCTGCTTGGCTAGCAGCTTGACAATGGACAAGTGGCCCTGCCAGGCAGCATAGTGCAGAGGCAGCCAGGCATCCTTTCCCTGCAGGCCCACGTCCACACCACGGCGTAGCAGGGTGCGTACAATGTTCTCCTGTCCATGCTGGCAGGCCACATGCATGGGCGTTCGGCCCTCGAAGTCCACCTCATTGACAGAGGCATTCTTCTCCAGTAGCAGCCTCATACTGGCCTCATCCCCATTCTGGGCTGCAAAGTGCAGGGCAGTCCACTGGTCTTCATCCTTGGCATTGACACTGATCTTCCGGGCCAGCAGTAGCTCCACGATTCCTCGTCCCCTCCGCTCCACAGCCATATGCAGTGGTGTGGAGCCCTTCTTGTTGGTCAGGTTGGGGTTGGCGTTGTTAAGCAGCAGCCACTTGACGCACTCCTCCTGTCCTGCCTCCACAGCCAGGTGCAACAGGCTGGCACTGCTGTCGAGAACCAGGTCCACATCCTGAGGCTGCAGGATCTTCATCAGCTTGCTGGTGTCCCCTGACATGATGGCATCTACTAGCTTCTTCTTCTGGATGTCTGTGGGGCCCAGATCTGCAGGGAGAGGGAGTACAATGTCAGAGGTTAGAGTGAGGCCATTACTGCAGGATGTGGGCTTCTAGGGCCTATAGGCTGAGGGCAGGTGGACCACATCTCCAGGGATTCTGGACAAGGACATTCAGGGTACATCCTTTACTTGCAGGCCTTTGAGGCATCCGCCCCTGCGTGCTTATTTCAGATCTACTTTAGGGAGACCTTGGGCAATGTACTTAATATCTCCCATGTTCCTCTGCTGATATGCAGAATAATACCATTCTAGCTTTTCCAGGGTTGGAAAAGGCGATTGACCACACTCCTCCCCTAGCAACAGCAGGATTGCTGACAATCATTTAAAAAGAGGTACACCAAAAAGGAAAGCCAGACAGGAACACCATCTGCCCAAAGACTTAGACTCCAAAACACTCTTCATGGTGCTCTACTGGCTGAGAGAGATGGTTCCTGAAACTTCAAGGGTATACAAAGCTGCACCCCATGTTGTGGGAACATCACATGGGGTGTTTCTGGAATGATCCTTGAAGCTGGATTTCTCAGGACACCGTTCAGTGTTCACAACGGAACTTTCTACTGAACCTAAAAATCTACTGCCATTACTGAGAGTCCTTACTCCCACGAATAGACTCTCCCTCTGCAGATGGAACGTTTTCCAGGTTGTTCTACAGTGCAGTGGGAGTATGGGTGGTACTAAGGAAACAGACCCTACCTAGTGTTTCAACACTGCATTCATTTGTTGTTTTGAGACAGGGTCTCCCTATGTAGTCCTGTCTGTCCCGGAACTTGTTTTGTAAACCACGCTGGTCTCAAACTCACAGAGATCCTCCTAAGTGCTAGGATTAAAACATGCAACCACCATGCCTGGCTTAAACACTCAATGCTCACAGGATGGTAGTCATTTCTCAGGCATGAGGACAAGACCATCACCAGAGAGGGTTAAGTCTGAAGAAAAGATTTTAGAACATATTTCTCCATGGCAGATGGTGATACTTCTACGGCTGCTGTGAAATTAGTCCTGACTGTCCTTTTTGATTCTGTTGTCCACAGCTTAGATACCGTCCTCTCTACCCATCTTTGCAAGCCATTTCTTTAACCTTCATTGCTCTTTCACTCAATATTCTACTGGAAAAAATCCCTGAAACCTGGCAAGATCCCAAATCTTTGGCACAGCTATCTGCACTCGGCCTCCCTCAAGCTACATCCTAGATTGAAATGCCTGTGCTTTACAAAGTAGCCACAGCAGCATCCCAAGTGTCAGCACCTCCAGGACAGCCAGCCCAGCCTGATGCAAGGCTAAGGTAACTGAGGATGCCTATAAACACAAAATCTTGGGACAGGGTTTATCTGGAAGTGTCTGAGTATAGGGCACAAGGCTGACATAAGTGAAATCCCCAGTGTCATTAGTTCCCCTGGTTGGCACTTGGGCTTTCCAGTTTGCAGACTTGAGGCTAAATCTATCCCAGGGCTGGCTCAGCCAGGTGATGTGCCCTGTCTTCCTTGCATGCTACACGATGCAAGGAATTTCTGGAGCTGTGCTCTGAGCACCAACTATGCTGATAACACCAAAGACTCATGACAGAAAACAGAAAGAACACAAGAAGCATCAGAGCAAGAAACCTTGCACATCAACTGCTCAGACTCTGATGTAACTCACAAGAGAGCCCTATGCAATCTCACCAGTGCTCACAGTCACTCACCGCCTGTTGAAGGTTCCCGCTCAAATGACAGTGACAGCGATCCTCTGGAGGAGAAGGCTGAGTCCACTGAGGACACCCCAGAGAGCCTCTTGCCACTGCTGGATGATGGCAGCTTACACTCAGAGGAACTTCGGCTGAGTTCCTCGGGGCCTTCAAGAGTCTGGGAGATCCCAGAGTCCAACTGTGACAGCAACTCAGAAAGGCTGCAGTCATTATCAAAGGGGGGAGCAGAGGCGCGCTTGAGGCGTGCAGACTCAGGCCTGGCCTGCAAAGATGAAGAAGGTGGTGGTGAGGACCCTGCTCTTCTAATTTCCATGTCAGAGTACAGAGAACAAGAAATTCCTGGCCACAGAGTAGAGACCGAGGTTCCCATGGACAAACATCATCAAGAAGCCCTGAAACTCAGGGCTGCAAAGGAACTTTATGGGCCTCCTGGCACAAAGGCATTGTAAGAATAACACCTTAGAAAAATGGAAAAGTCTGCACAATGCTGCCTCCCACTCAGGGGCACTGTCCACATGTAAGCTTCAAGAAAGAGCACAGAACAGGCAAGGCTAGGCCCGGTCCACCCAGACTTCTCAGGTATGTCAGTCTGACTTAGAGCTGTGTCAACAAGGAGAATTAGGGGGCTTTTACAGGTCTGGCTGTTGCAAGAAAAGCAGATTTCCAGCGACTAAGTCTTAGGATTGCTCACAACTCTTTCTGAGCCTTCTTCCCTTTGGGAGCCACTGGCCTTACTTGATGGGGAATGTTCTGTTTGTCACCTGTGTAGGAAGTCATGTCTACTTGCTGGCCACCAACATATCAGAGGTAGGTTGTTTGTTGTTGTTGTGTACTGGAGGTAGGTTCTGCCCCTTTACTGCTATCAGGGGCACCTTTGTCTCAGCTCTCACCTGTCCCATTGCTATTCTCCCTGGGAGACGCTGCCCAATGCCAGATAAACCACTACCACTCCCAACCTTCATAACAGAGTTCCCTTACCCCAGGCTTGGCTTCAATCATTACCCTGAGGCATTCAGCTAGCACTGAACTTTGGAACTTCTCACCACCTTGGAGTAACCATGTGGTACTTATAACACAAACCATTTGTGTATGAACAGATAGACTGTGATCAGATCTATCTTCCAGCTATCTGAGGCTCAGGAGGACTGGGGCAATCTGGACTTCCATGATCTCCAGTGTGCTGGGCAGGTGGGGGACCCCTGTGGGACATACATTTCTAGAAGGAGGTATAGGACAGGTTTACCGGGAAATGGGGAGGAATTTTCAGAAAAGATGTTGGACTGGGAAGCCTCCACCCATAAACTGGAAACCTGAAGATGCCTTCTAGAAATGCTTACCTCACTCTTGGGCTCTGGAGAACTTTTCTCACCTGGCTCATGAGCCAGGTCTTTCACCTCCTCATCAGGGTTTTCACAAAGGACTTCAGTTTCAGAGGTAATTTCTTTGGGTGAGAAAACAGAGAGTTGTTACCTAGATATGACTCTTACATAATTCTATGGGGACAGAAGCTGTGACACCCTAGTCTCTTAACCAGTGGAGGTCATGCCCAGTACCACTGCTAGGTCTCTGGAAAAGCCCCAGGCTACACCAGAAGGCAACCCACCCACAATCTTGAGTGGGCAGCCATCTGTAAGGTCCCATTATGATCAAAATGGGTCCTGAGTAACCTACCAGATGCAAAGGGTTAGAACTACCAGGACTGGCAGGTGAGCCTCAGCCCACTCATGTCTCCCTAGGTTCACTGAAAAGCAATTCTATAGGGTTCACTTTCTTATCCCAAAGGTACATCTATCTGTCCATGAGGACAAGACCCCAAGAGAAGTGAAAGAAATGTTGCAAGCCACTAGCTACCTTCAGCTGCCTAAAGACACACCATTGTACCTGAACTTGAAATCCAGGATTCAAAGCTACCTGGAGGCAAATACAGCCTGCTGGGAGCAGAGGTAGACATTGGTTCTGACAGCCAAAGTAGGAGATGGGCCACCCTGTTAGTGGAGGGCTTGCTTAACCCCTGTCTTTACACACACTGTTCCCCACCTGAGCTTGGCCCTCAACCCTGTCCTGGTCATCAACTCTATGGCCTGTGCCACTGGAAAAGCCATCACATGGTAATCAGAGACAGGGAAGCAGGGAAGGGCACTCACCTTGGAAGGTGGGCCGAACCTGTGGGTCTGCGTGCCAGCACCTTTGCATGAGCCCTATCAAGTTGGCACAGGCGCGTGGCCGAGGTCTGCAGACGGGTGGCAGCTCTGGGCGGTGGCCCTTCACCACTTTCATCATAATGTGTAGAATGTTCTTCTCATCTGCAAAGGGGAGGCATGTGTCAAGACTCTGATCAGCAGGACATAGCTCCTCACTCAGATGTATGGACAAGTGCTTGGGACATGCTATTACAGGCATACCACCTCAGACACTACCATTTCCCTTTACAAGCTGGGAGCTTTCTTTAACCCATATCCTCATAGGACATACCATTCTCTGTTCTCCCAAGTTTAAAAACTATGTCTCATGGGCACAGACTCTGCCATTATTTATTATTACCAGCCCTGATCAGGGAGGACTCAATGTGACTCTCAGTGGGTGACCTTCTGTTCATCTCACACCATGTAGCCCATTAGCCACTCGTTTCCACGGGCATTTCCCCAACCCTGCATTCCGAGCACACCCTGTAGTACAGCAGGAGCCTCTTGGCAGGCATGGGAAATTGGTCCAAAGTCACCACCGGCTGCCAGGGTTCCACACTGACACTATTCACTTTCCCGTTAAGTCTTGTACAATGTCTATCTCTTCAGTATCTGCAGGTTATTTCCACAATAATCCAACCTTCCAAACCCAGCAAGCTTTCCAAATGCAATGAAAGTCAAGAGAATGCCTAGAAGATTTTCTGCTGCCAAAGCCAGCCAAATGAAGCCTACATGACATCTGGGAAGTCCTGCACCTTGATTCCCCATCAAGGAGACAATAAAACCTGAGTGCCTAGATCTTTGACACACCACACACCTGACTTGAGTCACTGTTACCAGACAATTTCACACCCAACCAGTAGGCTATTACATGGAAAAGAATTCAGACTGTGGACCTCCACTGCATGAACACAGTCAGAAGAAAAAGCAGTAGGGGTGGTAGCTGGGTGGAGAGATGGCTCAATAGTTAAGAACACTGGTTGTTCTTTCAGAGGACCCTGCTTCAGTTCCCAGCACCCACATGGCAGCTCACAACTCCCTGTAACACTAGCTCCAGGAGGTTCAATGCCCTTTTCTGACCTCCACAGACTCCTGCACACATGTATCACTCAAGCACACACATATACACATAAAATATTTAAAAGAACAAACAATGGAGGACAGAAACATAATAGAACCACTCTGCTGAGCGTTTAATAAGCTCCCAGCATTATCCTAAATCCTGCTGTGCTTGGAGGGTCTTATCTCCACCCTTCCCCTTTTCTATGCCTGGCTTGAGTGTGTGACTGAGCTAGCAATGGGCCCTCACTCACTAATATCTATCTGTTTGGCTTTGGAGGCTGAACCCAGAACCGCATATACACTGAGCATGATCTGTATTTTCAAATATCTTTGGCCACACCCCATTGTGTGAATTTCTAGAAATGTCATAAAAGAAAAGGGACTCCTCCCTTACCAATGCAGCTAAAAGTGACTCAAGTTTTATACACTTGAGTTGACGTAATAGACGTTCTAGAGAGAGGCCAAACACATGAATGCTTTTACTGCTATCCACAGTGTGCTTAGAATGGTTAACACAGTAGATTCTGTCATATATGTTTTATACCATTTGTTTTTGAAAGGGAGAGAGAAAGGAGGACAGGGAGGGAGGAAGAAATTAACTGCTGGATCACAGGACCTGCTAACGGAGACAGAGATCTTCTGGGGTGATGAGAATGTTCTAGAACTATACAGTGATGATGTCTGTTCAAATGTCAAGGAGATAAGCACTTTAAATGTTAAAACTGGTTTCTTACTATGTAGAGTTTTACCATCACAAAACACTAAGTGGCATCAAAAAACAAGGCACAGTCTGATGGTCCCACAGTTATCAGTCCTGTATGTAAGTGACACAGCAAGAGTGCTTTGTCAGCCACCTGAAGTAAGCTGGCTGTGGTCTCCAATGTAGTTGCAGGGCAGGTATAAGGTATCTAACTGAGGACTGCCATGTGGCTTTGAACACTGGGAGTCCCAAAGCAGCCAACCATGAACAAGAGACACTATGGAAGGGCTGAGAAAATTCAAGGACATCCCCATTGCCTTCATACAGGGCCACTTACCTGCAAATGGCTTCTTCTGTGTGAGCATGCCCCAGATCACAATGGCAAAACTGGAAGAGAAACTAGGTGTTAGTTGGTGCCGGAGTCTCAGGTTTGGTAGAGTTCCCAAGCCCTGAGCCACCATCTCACAGGGGTGCAGACCAAGACTCAGACATCTATGGACACCTCTGTTCTCTGCTGTGGCTTCAATCCTTTAAATCCAGGGTCAGATTGGTTCTGACTAAAATACTCTAAGAGGCCCTTGGAGGCTTCATGAGAGAGTAACTAATGAAAATGTATAGAAAGTACTAAGAAGCAACCATCTGAGCCCGAAACCCTCTTAGCTACTGGGGGACATATGTTTAGATAAATAAATTATTCTAGGTACACTGAAATAGTCCAATCTAAAAAAAAGAAAAAAAGAAAAAAAAAAGAAAAAAGAAAAGAAAAATTAAAGGCTAAAAAATGAGCCTACCTCATCAACTGGAAAAATGCAGGTTCAAAAGCTAAAGCCAACTTTAAAATAAAGTACTGGATTCTCCCCAAACTCTACAAGCCCTAACTTGTCCCCAGAGAGCCATTCCAAGGAAGACTCAGCACATTAGCTTCTGTCAAACCAGTCAGCTGGGCCTAGTGACAAAAGACAGAGCTGGTTGAGATAGTGCCCTCATAATCTGAGGAGGAAAGGAAGGTAGGTACTCAAGAGGATATCAGGTCCAAAGGAAACACCATTTCCCCAAATTTTTATGATAAAAAAAAAGCCAGCATTCCTCAGCTGGTTCCTCACTACCAAAAGGAGCCATGTCTCTTATCAGCGGAAGAAGGGACAAGTGGCTATGGTGGTGCCTATCAGCATACCAAAGCTCATGGCGACCTCCAGGCTCCTTCAAAATCACAAGTACCTGCCACACATTTCAAAGTCCATGCTGGCACCCGAGCTCTTCTGGCCTCCTCCCCTACCCTAAACTTCTCTACCTCATGGACTCCCCACAGCTACTTATTCTCCTTATAAGTTAGTTATGCTCCCTCTTTTACCTGCTCTTTTCTTTGTCTCCCTTTCTCTTGCTCTCTCTCTCCCTCAATTCTGTTCTTGTCTTTTGGCCAAGTGACCCATACGTGTGGGCTGCTCACTTTGGGATTCAGAAGAGTGTGTGCTTTGAGGAGTCCAAACCCACATACCTATGGATCTGTGGGCTACTCAAAGCAGCAGGCTCTTCTGTCAGACAAGGAGGAAAACCCATGTTTCACAGAAATACGGCATCATTTACAACATTGGGCTAGAAGCCGCCTTTTCTAACTGTTTCAGCCTAGCACCAGCAGGAACAACCTCTTCCTCAGCCAGCACCACCCACAGGAAAAAAAGTCTTTCCTGTGCCTGGAGAGCATGCAGCCACCAGCTAAAGTCCCCAAGTCTAATAGGCACACACCATTTGCATGTGGACCAAACTCCGTGGCTGAATGGTGCCCTAGAGCCTTTCTAGAAACTGCTGTTCAGAGCAGGAAGCAACAGTGAAACTTAGAGCTCCCAGCCGGCACAGAGGGCATGGTGGCATGTCACACACCTGTATACATCATGTTTGGTGTCAAACAACCGGCTCTTCTCACGGATACGCTCTGGAGGGAGGTAGGCGATTGTGCCAAATAGGCCATCCATGCTGAGGTCATGAGAGTGGGACATACCATTGCACTTGGCCAGTCCAAAGTCAGAAATCTGTAAAAGCAATGCAAAGGAGGCGTGTCAGCCTTAAAGGGAGCCAGAAGAGGCTATGACATCTCTCTTACTGCCATAACAGATGGTGGTTCCCCAACACATGATATAGGCACTCACACCCAAACAGAGGGGCTAAGCTCCAGGCTGCCCTGTCTCCAGGCAGCAGGAAGCTAAGGGATATAAAGGGGCCAAGCCTGGATGCACCATCAGTATACACTTGATGGGTAGGGAAGAAAGACATCATGCTTAATAAAAGAATGGAATTCACTTGGAGACAGAGCTCATAAAGAATGACAGCCAGTCCTACTTCTGTAAAGTTTCATGTCTGCTCTGGTGGCTGATGGTCACAGTCAGCATGAAGGAAAAAACAGCCTTCAGCTTTCAGGCAAAGGGAGCCACGTGATGAGCTGGGGCGTCTATCGTCCATAGTCAGTCCGGTTATGCAACCTTCCAGCTGGGGCAGCTGCAAGTGCCAGCAGGTCCTTTAAAGCACAACACGCCTTCAGAGGGATTTAGAGTGAGCAAAACATACGCCTCATCACCTTCCGGGCTCACTCCAGATATGCTGTCCCCTCCCCCTTGGTGATGATGTCTCTGTTTCCAGAGTTCACAGGGGAGGCAGGTCCCCCATTGATGAAGGTGTCCTTGTAACTCACACCACTACTGCAGAGTTGGCAGGCATCTCTGGGAATCTCCCTTTTCTGCCCATGTCACCACATCCTGGTGTAAACCAGACCCTTTGAAACGCTGTGTACTTAAGCCCCAATTCAGCACCAAATAGCCTTCCAAGTGTACACAGGAATGGCCCCTTTCTAGTCTCCTTCAAGGCTGATGTGGTTTTAAGCCTTTTAATTCACTCCTGGGCTCGTCTTCAAACACACCCTGGTAGCAACAGGAAATGGGCTGAGTCAGGACTTTTGTTTCCAGACCGGCCACACCCATGAAGGGAGGCCACCGGCCTCGTGTCATCAATGCCCAACAGCAGAAAGACTGAGTGGTAACTAAAAGACCCTGAGGATAGTCGTGGGAGTTGACAGGAAGATATCCTTTAGGGCTGGCCCTGTCTCTGCTAGCACTCAAAGCTCAGGCTCAGCAGACCTCTAGGGCCCCACAGGTCTGCTGGTTCTGAAAGTCTATATGGCCTCAGGAGAAACAAGAACTCTGGAAAAGCAGCCAGTGACCATGACAAAGTCATCACTGAGTCCCCTGCAGATCCTTCAAGCTGCTTAGAGCTGGGAGACAGTGCTCATTCACTGCACATCTCAAAAAAGTTCAGGGAGAGCAGCCTGAATGTTTTACATTCGGAAATGCAGACAGATTTGGGCAACATTAGCAGTGAACGACTTCTTTTTCTCTCTGTCACTGTCCCTGCACACTGGACACGCTAGCTACTTCATAGCACTGGAGAAAGCCTGGCACTGCAGGCACACCGAAGTGAAGTACTAGGGAGTTGAGCCTGGGGCCTTTCTCTCTCATCCTCCTACCCAGGACAGGGTAGCCTCCTTCCCCAGCTTTCAACAGTGGACACCTGAGGTCTCATGATGCTCTCACACTGGCACCTGACTCAGTATCCCCAAAGAGCTCTGGGATTACAGGAACATAATAGCTAGACCAAGCTACCAAAGGCCTCTTGCTACCTCAAAGAGAAAGGCTTCTTTGGACCCAGCAAGAAGAACCCCTCTTGCAGGACACTATGAATAAGTAGTTGGGGATATCTGGATCTGGTTCTAACTTGGATATTTAGTTTACTTAATAGAGAAATGCACTTGACAGCCCCAGGCTGCTGTGAGGTATCCGTAGTACTCACACTGAGCACAGGCTCAGAACAGTAGTGCCTTCCCAGACGCAGGGAAGTGAGGCTGGCAGAACAGCAGCTCTTGGACCTGCCTCAGGATCCCAACTACAAATGGCCCAGAACTCCAAGGGACCTATCTGCATGGGATATGCAGAACCCTCAGCACCACAGGCTCCTTCTGGGAGGCTGTTTCTACAAGACAAAAAACTGTGTTGTATAAGCACATTTCTGTTTGTTTTCAGCTTTTTGTCAGTGACTAACTTCTCTGTTAATAACAGCCTGGCACCACACAAAAGCAGCTTTTGCAGGGCCTTTCAGGGTGGCTCAGGTTAGGGGGTGGCCTCAGCATCCCAGCTTTGGGACAGTGTCCCATCATGCTGAAGAAACACCTTCTCAGGCATGGTATCACACACCTTTAATCCCAGTACTCGAAAGGGAGAGGCAGGTGGATCTCTGTGAGTTCAAGGTCAGCTGGTCTACAAAGAGAGTTCTAGGACAGCCAGGACTGTTACACAGGGAAAAACAAAACAAAAACAAACAAACAAAAAACCAACCTAATAAAGGAACACATTTTCATCATTGTTCCATGGCTCCCAGTCCAGACATCCAGCTGACACTGTAGGAACTACAACTATCATCAGGTTGCGGGGACAATGGCCTACAAGGGAATGCTAACCCAGAATTTGTCAAGGGCAGCCCTTAGTTCCTCAATGAAAAAGCATTAAGCACCTGTTGTGTACCTGGAACTGAGAAAATACCTAGAGAAGTCAGCACCCAGACCTACAAAGGACAACCTACTAGTGACAAACCAGATACTAGGACATTACTTTGACTCCCATAGGGGCACTGTGTGAGTGCTCACCCTCACTGATCCAGATGATAACCCAGAAGTGACAGAGATGGGGAGCTCTGTCCTTATCTCAACTTCTGGCTGACAAGGATGACACTTGGAAGAGGACAGTTCTGTGTCATCATCATCGCCCCACCCACACCCCCACCCCAGAAGCACAGCACAAGTCTCCCAAATACCCACATGCCTGTAAGGAGAGGAGGGCAACATGCAAGGGAATGAGATGAAAACAATGGCTTTGTCTAGGGCAGCTGAGGGACTCTGCAGAGACCCTGCGTCTAGTGACTCTTGGGGCTACACCAGACCCATGGCCTAGGTAATACAAGGTGTCAGCCAGTTCCCATTCAGCAGTTCTTAAAGACACAGGAGCCTTCAAACACCACCCAGCACTGCCTGCTGTTTTCCTTACCTCTTCTCAAGTGCCCAGAATTTTATATGGTTTCTGGGCTTTCTTCCATCTAAAGGCTACCCTCCCCTGAACTTGCAGGCCTGCTGCACACAGAAGCAGGGCCTGCCTGCTGTGAAGGCCAACCCCAAGTATCCAGGGGCTGTCTGCATACCCTTCTACTTTTCACAAACCACCCTGGCCTCTTGTGACTGTGGTGTGTCAGTAAGCAGGTTTCCTGAACATGTCATGAACGGACTGTGGTGGGTCAAGATCTCTGGAGGCTATCGTTTCGACCTCTGCTCCACACCTGCATCTGGAATAATCTAACCACGGGGTAGCCACCAAGTGACTAGACTACACCTCTGCTCTGTGGTGAGGCCTTGGCCCAGGGTAGGGGCTTGTTGTTATTGTTTTCTTTTTCTGGTATAGGTTACATATACATGAGCAATGATCTTATGACCCACTGGGCCCATAGGCCCTGTCCTGCCCAGGAAGAACAGAAGCCAATCCCTACCCAGGAAACAAGCTCAGATCACAAGAAGATACTGACACTAAGTTGAGTGATACCTGTCTCACTTTTCAGGACGTAAAAGCCATGACTGAGCAATGTCTACCTAAACCACAACTCATAGCTATTGTCCAGAGTAGAAATCAGTTTCTTTGCTTGGCTGAGTCTGAGTGCTACAAGTAGCTTCACACATGCTGCAAGGGCCACTATGTACAGAGTCAAGCAGAGTGGTACAATGAGCCTCCTAAAGGTCAGGCCAGCAGAGTGGATCTGCAAGTGTTATGCAATCAGACATATCACTGTGACAGGCTGAGGACACTGTTAGTTCCTTGTGTGAACATTGTTTGATCCAGGGCCCTTGGGCCCACTCCCTCACTCAGGCCCATCTACTTTCTTGCAGAAAAAGGGTGGTTGTGACCAATACATGTCCATGTCATATGATAAAAACTCGCCCATGGTGTTGAGGCAGAGATGTCCAGAGGAAAAATATGTCCAAAGCCACCATACAATCCAGAATAAACTGACAATACTTACATCCAAGCACACAACACCCATTTCCTGTATCATTCTTCACACTATACTTTACAAACTTGCAAAGAAACAAACCTCATAGACCTCGCATCAATACAACTGCCCACAGCTTCCTAGCAGAGGGCACACAAGTGAATGAGTCCCCTTCACAGCCTGTGTCTAGAACATATCAGACCCTACCACCTCTTCATAGTGCCAGACCAGTGAGGAAAAACAGGTTCCTTTATCAGAAGACATGGGGTCTCTCTGTTCACAAGAGAGACAAGTTCACAGCCCAATTTGTGATTTCACAAGACTATAAGCCCTGGAACCCCTAAGTCCTGGGTCTGCCTCAGGGTGCTAAGAACCTAGGACATGCCAGAATATTGGGGGGTGGGGGGGTCCCATGGATTTACCAGGGTCACCCTTTCAGGTGCCTATCAAATTCAGATCAAGTGTGACCAGCTGGGTGCTCTAGCAGGTCTTACAGTGAGAAAGGCCCTGGCTTCAAGTTTTCTGCTCCAGGGACATCACTTCTCAGAATCCAGGCCCTGAATTCCAGACTCCAAGATCTTAGACACAGAGCCCTCCCTAAAGCATCCCGTGTCCCAGCTGCCCACTCACTCCCCAGGGCACATGCTGTCCCTACCTTGACATGGTAGTGGGCATCCAGGAGGATGTTTGCTGGCTTCAGGTCCAGGTGCAGCAGCGGTGGAGACATGCAGTGCAGGAAGTTCATGCCCACTGCTGTCTCATGCACAATGCGGAAACGCAGATCCCAAGGCAGCGGCTCAGAAGCAAGCAGCTTCTCCAGGGAGCCCGTCTCCATGTACTCCATGACCAAACCAACAGGCTCCTGGCATATGCCATACACAGGCAGAATGTAGCGGAATTTTGCCATCTCCATCTTCTTAGCTTCCTCCAGTAGTTCCATGCGTTCCCTGAAAAAGTCCATAGGTGTAAGGGCATGCAGCTGTCACCTAATAGGACACACAACCACTGACCAGGATACCACCAGCGATAAACGCACACGTGTGCAAAGTTCACTGTCACATAATTAAACATTGGGCCTTCCAAAGCCTACACTCCTATGCTGCTCACACCCGCCTCTGTACCTGGGGTCACTGTGAGGACACAGCCTAGCAGTTACCTGGATACCTATAGGCAACATCACATCCCTTGTCTGTATGGAAAACTGCTAGCTGACTATCCAAGGACCTTCACCCTCACCTTTTGTTTAAGCCCAACTCTTTTTCTGGCCCAATCACTCCTAGATCTAATCTCATACTTAACAGAATAGCCTGAGTCTATTATGGATTGGTCAAGGGCCACTGGCCACACTTTGTACTGATTACACAGAGGTGATCCATATCCCTCTAACTACCCGTGAGTGGAAAACACAGGGGCATTCCATATGTAACCATCACCACCCAGGACATTTTCATCATCCCCAAAGTGCATCCATTAACCCCACACACACCAGACCCTACATTCTTCTTTTTCTGAATCCAGGTGCCCCAAGGGGGTGGAGTCATCTCCATTACTCTGCTATGCCTGCCTTACTTCATGAGGTGTTTTCACAGCCCATTCATACTGTTATGCATATCCAAGTTCCATTTGTGTGGCCAAGAAGGATGTAGGGACACACCACGTTTTGCTAATCCGCCCTCATGGTTATGGATAAGACTGCTTGTGCGTACTGATTAGTTTTTATGTCAACTTGACATAATCTGGAGTCATCTGGAGAGGAAGCTCCATTGAGAAAATGCTCCCATCATATCAGCCTGTAGGCAAGCCTGTTGGGGGTGTTTTCCTAATTTATGATCCATGTGGAAGGGGCCCAAGGACACTGTGGCAGATGGTCCCAGGTTTTGTAAGAAAGTCAGCTGAGTAAGCCATAGGCAGCAAGGTCAGAAGCAGTGTCCCTCCACAGCCTCTGCCTCCGGGTCCCTGTCCTGACTTCCCTTTGTGACAGACTGTAAGCTGTAAGATGAAACAAACCCTTTCTCCACAAGTTGCTTTTGGTCAGTGCTTTGTCATAGCAACAGAAAACAAACTAAGACACTGCTCCCACCTGTTGGCTCCTGAAAATAATGCTGTACCTTTGGGGGATGAAAGTCTGGACATCTCTTGTGTTAGTTCTTCTGGGTATCTGCCCAGAAGCAGAGCTAGCTGCTAAATCACGTGGCAGGTCTACACCTAACATCTAGAGAAGCTATGGTGCTGCTGTCCATGGCCTGCTACTTCCTTGCCAGTGACCTTCCATTGGGGACACCTCCTCACACATTTAGGTACCATCTGTGGCAGAGACAGCTGAAGCATGGGCTGCATTCACCAGCCACAGCCAAAGGTCAATTCCATGATGTTTGTACAGATGTGAATTGCTGTGTAATGACCCGTGCCTGCAACAGAGGTCAAAAGTCTGAGTGTGCACTCAGGGTAAAAGGCCCCATCCCAAGAGGGTGTGACTGAGCTACATAGAGTCAGTGTCTCTCCAAATACACACAAGAAAGCACCCAGGAAGCTGGGAAGAGACTTCCATGCCGCAAAATCTGCTGACTAGAAATAAAGAGCTCCTTAAAGGAGACTTCTGGAACCACTTTCAGAGAGACATGCTGGAGCTGAGAACTGGGCAGCCTGCATGTCCACACATAGGCCTGGTAGCTGAGGTGCCTTGGTGCCTTGGTGCCTCCCCAGAAGAGTCTAGCACAAAGCTCCACCTGTAGCCTGAAGCTCACTGGGTTTTCATTACTCCCCAAAGGGGCTCTTTTGGGTCTAAAGTGCCTGTTGGGAAATCACCAGGAGCCTGCTGGAGGACCCAGAATGGTGCTAACAAGGCACTTCCTAACCTAGCCTCCTCTTTGAAGCTATAGAAGGTTCCCAGGCTTCACTGGCCCCATGCAGGAAGAAAAAGGCAGGCAGGCAGGCAGAGCTACCTGGGCGCCAAAATCCACAGCAAAAAGCAGGTGTCTCATACTCTGGCAGGGGAACTGCCACAGGTTCTAAGGGCTGAGGAGTTCAGCCCTTTGCCTGCCCCACAGGCAGAAAAATAGCTAGTTCTACCTTTCCCACCACTCAAAATCCAAAAAGTTCCCTCTCTCTGCCCAGGCTCTTTCCAGAACACAAACCTCATTTAAAAAGAACAAGGGCTATAAGGGCTGCTAGAGAAAGCTGCTCCCTGCTGCATTTACACACTGACTCTGTTACAGCAGGCTGGAAGAAGCCCATGACATCACCCCTGGCCTGGGCTACATGCTTCAGGGCACTTCACTGGAAAATGGCCACTGTTTCCAGAGTTTCCACAAAAATCAGAGACTAGCACTGAGGCAGAGTCAGAGAAACTTTTCAAAGCAATTATTATCTAATACCCTCTGAACTTAAAAGCCCACACCATCATCCTGATGCTCTGGGGACATGCCACCTGGGGCTGGAAGCTTCAGGGTTTAGGTGTTATCAGGAGCACCTGTCACTCTGTAAGCCTAAACTGGGCTAGCTACTAGCCTGGGAGAGATGGGCGGACTCTAGTATACATAGAATTCATCATTTTATGTCACTGGTTCTTATCATTTAAAACACATCTTTCTCATAAGCAGTGTTACACATCAGTTCTGGTAACAACACAGAAGAAACTGTACATTTCTAATTATTGCTATTGTTTTAAAACCTGGAGGGATTTTCCAGCTTGACTCTAGCTTGGATGGATGCCTGGGTGGGGCAGGGATCACGGCGGCAAGCCCAGGGCATGCTCCTGGTCGCCATTCTGTTCCATTCTGTTCTTTCTGCTCACAGTGAACCAAATGTTTCTAGGCCAAGGAACCCACTGACGTCAGGTGCATTAAAACACAACTTGATCTTTGCTTCTGCAGAGTGCAGAAAGGCTGGAGTTACACTCTCATCTCCTTCGCCCCTGGGAGAGCGCTGCTAATTCAGCCTCTGAGAAGGAAGAGAAAAGGCACCTCTGCCCCACTCTCATCCCTATTTGGGGGTTCCATTTAGAAAATATGGGCACAAACAGGACCAAGTTAGAATTACAATTTCTAAAGACACTTTTTTGGCACAGTGCTGGCTACTGAACTCAGAGCCTCACAAGTGCCAGGCAAGGACTTAACCAGGAAGCTGTAGCCCCAACTTCCCTCCAAGTTTCTTTTTTTTCTTTTTTTTTTTTGCCCAGGCAGACCCTGAACTGAAGGCAATCCTCCTACTCAGCTTCCTGATTGCAGTGTAAGAACCTTTCCAAAAGCATTTACAACAATTCAAACACATCCCATTTACAGCCAGCATAATGTGGTCTCCCACCAAGAGATGGGTAGGAGTACAGACTAGAGTCAATGAGAACCGACACCCGTCATCTCTGGAAGGTCTATGGGAGCCAAACCTCTACCTCCCAGCTCAGAAAGAAATCCCAAAGACCCTGGGATGATAAGAGACAAGGGGAGGAGAGAACCCAAGTCAGCCATGAATGAGCTGGATGCCTCCAGAGAACAGGGAAGTACAAGGGGCTCAGCAGCAGCTGCCAGGGAACCTGGGAAGCATTGCGGGAGAAGAGAACTTCAGCCTCTCCAATGAGCTCCTGCACACAACCCCAATTACGTTCCCAGGAGCCTCAGAGGGGTTCCCACACTGTGACTGCTATTTTTAAAACTGACAAGAATCAGGCTTGTCCAATTGTCAGCTCTGCAGTTACAGACTTGGGGTTTGCTCGGGCTCGCCCTGACTAGCTGAGGCCCGGCTCTGCATTAGCAGCTCATGGGCCCCTGTGCCAGGGACTTTGTTATTCTGAGCTCCTTTTAGCTGGGGCCTCTGGGTAGTTTGTTCTAAGAGTGTCAGGTTTGTCCCCCCCTCTCCCTGTCCTTGTGACCTCATTAAGTGATAGCCTGCCAGGGAAGACAGCCCTCTCCCCAAAGCCAACCAATAGGACCCTCCCAAGAGGAGAAATCTGATTAGTGGAGAGGCCACTTGTGAATGGTACTGAGGTCCTCTAAGTGTCCCTGCGTTGGCAGAAATTTCACAAGGGGCTTTAGAAGTGTTCCGGACCTGATTAAGGCCCCACCCTCCCAGAAGAGAAATGAAGGGTCACAAACCACAGGATGGGTAAAGGCTGGGGCCTGGGTAGCTGCAGAGAGCCAAAAGATGCCCAGCCATCCTAGAGAGTGAGCAGCCTTGCTGGTGAAAGCGGGACTGGCCCACAGCTGTAGCTAAGATGACCCCCACCTCCACCCCCAAGCAGCAAGTAAAGGCCATATCTGACCCCCACTACATACTAGGCAGCAGAGGTAGATGTTAGCTGGCTTGGAGGTCATGGCAGATGAATCCTACCCTCACAATTAGCTTTGGACACCACCTCCACTACCCCTGGGTAAGTACCACACACAATGGCAGCTCCTTAGAGGTAAAGTTAGCAGGGCTTTGTTGAGGCCCAGAGAGGGAAAGCTATTTCCTCCTGGCAGCTTAAGGCTGGCTTACATTTTTTTTTAACTTTTTTTTTTTTTTTAAAGATATGGTCTCTCTACATCAGTGTTTGTCAACTTGTGGGTTGAGACCCCTTTGGGATTGCATATCAGATATCCTGCTTATCAGGTATTTACAGTATGATTCATAACAGTAGCAAAATTACAATTATGAAGCAGCAACTAAATAATTTTATGAGTGGAGGTCACCAACAGGAGAAACTGTATTAAAGGGTCACAGCATTAAGAAGACTGAGAACCACTGCTCTCCATAGTCCTGGAACTCACTATGTAGACCAGGCTGGTGTTGAACTTAAAGAGATCCTCCTGCCTCTGCTTCCTGAGAGCTGGGATTAAAGGCACCACCACTGTGGCCAGTTTCTTTAATTCTTTTTAATCTATTCTGGTGAAAAAAAACTGTACCTGAGTTCTACCTGTCTGTAGATGTATGCTAAATGGCCAAAAGAATACATACAAGATTGCAAAGACAAATTTTGACCTTCCCTTC